TACCCAACTATATTTTTATAACCTTAGGCAGTTGTGAGCACCGTAAACTCTTGAAAAATACTAGCAACAACAACAACAACAATAACAACAACAATAACAACAACAATAATAACAACAACATCAACAGCAGCAGCAGCAGCAGCAACAACAACAACAATACAAACAGCAACAACAGCAATATTAACAACAACAGCAGCAACAACAGCAACAACAACGCAGGGAATATCCCTGCTTCCAACCTCACAGGAGATTGATGCTGTCTGTTTGGTTTCATCGACGTTTTGGTGCAGCTGCAAAACGATGATCCCAGCCCTGCAAATACTTCCAGGAAAACGCGCTTGCGGGTCTGTAGTAATTCTAACCATAGTTCGCCCTAAATGCTTCCCAACCATCATAAGTGGCGTCGATAGCCTAGTGGTTAAGTTACCGGACTCGTAATCGTGAAATTGGGGATCGGGGGTTCAAGCCTCAGCTGGGTCCAACGCTGTGTCCTTGGTAAAGAGACTTTACACGAATTTCCCATTTGGCTTGGTCCTTTCGGATATGGACGTTAAACTCGGAGGTATGCCCCATATATGACATAACAGTGTTGATAGGGGCGTAAACCTATACCATTTTCCCCCATCCATCATACCTTCGTCAACACAACCCGATACGAGAGCTCAGGTTTCTTTTTTTTTGTAAAGTGTTTTACGGCGCTCGCAAACTGCATACGGTCATATGAGCGCGCGGGACACACCTAATATTTTCAGCTGGTAGGAAATTTTGAATTTAAGCCTACACTTATCGATTTAGACCACCAAGGGATCTTTAACGTGCGCAACTTGCACACGGGTCCTCCGAGATTTTTCGCCCTTGTCCGAGAAGGCTAGGTGTAGATCTTTCCTACCAGAAGATCAGGGGTGTGGCAGAAAGACAGCTGTAAGGAGGAGCCAAGGAGTAGCAGTAGAAAGGCTGCAGCAAGAGTCAGGAGTCCAGAGTAGGGGGCAAAGGAGGTGAGGGGGTGGGGGCAGAAAGTGGAAATGAAAGCAGACAACAGAACATTGCTAGAGAGCAGGAAAGGAGGTGAAAGGAGACAGTTTTAGAGAAGAAAATTTTTCGGTCGCTACCCGGATTCGAACCCGGAACCTTTGAATGAGAGGCCAACACCTTAACCTCTAGGCCACGAGAGCCCCCGCTCAGGTTTCTGTCATTCCGGCATCTCAACTTGAGAAATTGTCAGGAAAGGTAGGACCTTCACGACAAACCGCAAAGGGATCTTCATTAACGACCTGTGCTGCTTGACTTGTGCTCTCCCACTTCGGCAGACACGTACTCAAAGCACGTCTCTGCATGGCTGCCGATCGCAAGCTCTGAATTACAAAGTTCTATCTGACATTTTGGCCGTTTTGAGTAACTACGACCTCGAGATAAAAGAAACACCAATAAATGTTCTATCTGCTCTGTCAAACTGGTAGGATTATTAAGTCCAGACATTGATGACTTCGACAGTGGCAGAAACAAAAAGATGGATAGATGAATATATATATATATATATATATATATATATATATATATATATATATATATATATATAGTAAATCAGCATTAAAGCTAAATCATAAGTTGTTGGACTATACAGATTTTTTTCAGATTTTTGAGCGGTGTTATACAGTTACATTTCAAGATTAATGGGGCCATTTCTTCACTTTCTTCAAGCTTTTATGCCAGGTAGTCACATTGCTGAGCCTCTTTCCTGTATCTGTTACACAATCGAGGCGCAACATTTTGGATCACCTGCTGGTGGCTTATCCCAAGAGCTTGTATTGCTGACTTGATATAATATTCCGTTCCTTTAATATATCACATCCACTCTTTTCCTTTTCATACTTAAAGCCTATGGAATCTTGACATTTTTTCGATATGCTGATTTCATATCCCCAACTGCATACCCAGTCATCCGCGATGTGCTTGTGATCTTCAAGAAGGGACTTCAAGGAACGTATATTTGTCCTTTAAACATTTGTTATGCCATCAACATGTTTGCTTTTTTTAAATCGGAAACTTTTATTTTCTGAAGATGCATTGCCGAACCAGACTATTCACTGCCTTGGGATACGTGCTTGTTCCAACATGCATGGTGGTAGCTGATGTTTGCTAAAGAACCAGTCAGGGAGGAAGTGGACAAGGAAACTTTTGGCAGTCCATCCTTCATGTCTGGATCTTCACGCCAGAAATGTTTTGTCGTCGTCTCTTGCGATTTAAAGTTCAAGGGTTTTTAAGTATATGTGTGGTTTTTAAGTATTATATTATGAAAGAATCAGAAAGTGCATGAAATAGTTCCACGAGACATCTGTCCACTGAGTGGATTCATAGAGATCACACATTTATCAAGCCCTCACCATTTTCAGATTTTGCTTTCACAGTGTTACACGGAAACTGGTGTATGAGATGAGAGGGTTTGTGTGGCTTTTTCAATTCATTGTCATTCATTGTTCATTCATTGTTCATTCATTGTTCATTCATTGTTCATTCATTGTTCATTCATTGTTCATTCATTGTTCATTCATTGTTCATTCATTGTCCATTCATTGTTCATTCATTGTCCATTCATTGTTCATTCATTGTTCATTCATTGTTCATTCATTGTTCATTTATTGTTCATTCATTGTTCATTCATTGTTCATTCATTGTTCATTCATTGTTCATTCATTGTTCATTCATTGTTCATTCATTGTTTCAGGAAGCAACGTCCCTACACTCCGAACATGTCCATTGATGCTCCGTTGCTCTCTCCAAAATGTTGCTGAGGGTCCTTCCAGTGATTGTGCCAGTACACATCTGGTTAAACGTTCTTCTGTTCGCCTTTTTCAATACATGTGTTTAATCAAACACTCACACAAGACAGGCTCATTGTTCTGGTATAAAAAAAGAAGTTTTGGAGTAAAAAAAAATAAGAGTTATACTGACGTCATTTTCTCATTCTGTATGTTGCATTTATCTGAAAAGAAGAGAAATACCAGTTTAGAGGTGTGGTGGATACAAATCAATACCTTTGGGGCTAATATATTTGACCCATTATAAGTTAAAATACAAGTAGGGCATTCTTTACAATCCGCAGGAAAAATGGGACAAATATTCCTCTTCACCGTAAGCGATAAGGCAACCACAATTAGAACCGATCACAACAGTAAACATCTATGAATGAGGGCAGTAAGTACGTTATTGTGGGAGACAGTATAGCTAGCGGTGCGTGGCTTAGTTTCAAAATGGTAAATTTAAATCAGTTATCTTTTAAGAACAAGAATTTTCAAAAATATTACTGTATATAGTTTTTGGGACACCTGAATAGACATAAGGGTCTTGAATATCTAGCTCTCACTGGCAAAATTGAGGGCAAGCGAGGCAGGGGTAGGCCCAGAACAACATACTTAGGGAACCTAAACAAATAGGTAACGAGGAAAGATCAGGGAAACGTAGCTTTTTTTAGAGCATCTGAGCAAAGGAATGAATGGAAAACCATGATCGCCGATGTCTGTCGCAGATCTGGCACTGGATGATGATGAGTGTATATAAATTGTCAACGCTAATTCCATCTTATTAGTTAGTATTTAAAACTTGCTCTAATGAAACACCCGATCTTTCGGGGATGTTTTTACTTTTACTGTTTAGAAATGTCGAGTTGAAGGTTTGGTTCCAACACGCACAATGCTTTGATCGCATTGCACCGAAATGCCGTCCGGGGAATCCCGTTCTGTTATAGACTAATTTTTTTGCGGTTCCTTTACGAAGTTGTTTTGTTCTACCTCTACCTCTTTCTGTATGATAAATACTAGATCTACAGTAATGCATCCAACCGGTTTAGATCTATGTGTTTGCCACGAGTGACAAAGTGGACGAATAAAGTTCACACCGTTTCAAATAATTGATCAAAACTTAGGGTGATAATGTAGTGATTTTGGAACTGTGACAAACGCGATCTGAGACATTGTCCCCAAGCGAATGTAAACAAAACAGTCCATTGCGGTGATTGTGCTAGCCAGTTGCCTGAACTATTTTTGCATGTTAACACGGTACAAAGTTTACATGTAAATTATTTACAACGCCCACCATTTTCAAAGAGGCATGGGAGCTAAATTCTCTTTTTAACTCATAAAGTCTCCAAAAGTAAAAGAACGCGACTTCCGCGCTCCACGGTCACGGAATGTTTCATTTTGCTTCAACCCGAGGGTGGAGCAGAGAGAGAAAGAGAGAGAGAGAGAGGGGGGAGAGAGAGAGAGAGAGAGAGAGAGAGAGAGAGAGAGAGAGAGAGAGAGAGAGAGAGAGAAAGAGAGAGAGGAACCCACGGGACAGTACCACTGACTGTAGTGTCTTTAGGCCATTTCCAAAGGGAGGACATTTCTCGTTCAAGCATAGTTGAATTGTAAATGGGCTGACTCATGTCACGCTCATAACTGTGCCTGATCTACAACAGGAAACTGCTGCTTTTTCTTTCCTGATCCTCACTATGGTCATTTTCCTCTACTTCTTTTGCATGTTTGTCACTCTCCTGTGACCTGCTATTTCCGGGGTGCCTTGATAGTCGAAGCAAACCTTGTGCTGTTGAAACTAGAGAGGTGAGCAGTCGAAGTCTGATTCCCTGTAAAGACTTCTCTGTTGAAAGCCACCCCTTGGCGCTCATATGACCTTATGCAGTTACGAGCGCCGTAAAACCCTCTACTATAAAAAAAAACGAGATAGAGAGAGAGGGGGGGGGGCAGAAGGTGGAGATGAAACACACAGAAGAACAGAGAGACCATAAAAGGTGAAAGGAGAAACATTTTCAAGAAAGAAAATGTTCCGTAGCGGTCACGTTTTGAATCCGGGGCCTATTGAATGAGAGGAGGGGGCGGGGGTGTAGATTTGACGGAAGCGCACTACGCTTGAACTTAGAGGAAGTGCGCACCAATTTCTCAAGCGAAACTTCACCTTTTAGCCACACTACGTGCTCTCTTGGCGAGTTCCGGTTCATGAGTTTAGCGGATGCCTTGTGAATTCAACCCAAATTCCATCGTGAACTGAAAGATGTGTTTACTGAAAGATGAAGGCAAGCCATGCCTTCATGGCCATCGTCACTTGGATAAGGATTCTAGCTGATCTTTTTGAAACATGTAAGTCTTTCAACGGGAGGACTTCCGTAACGAGCGACCACTATTAAATCTAGATTATATTCAATGGCTTCCAAAATCCTGATGGGAGACCGAAAGCCACTGTTATACCATCTGTTCATGACAAAATTACGGTAGTTTGCGCATTTTTAGGCCCAGTTTAAAGTTTTGTAGGTCTGAGTCGGGGATTAGTAGACTTGAATCAAGGCGCAGCCATTGTTGATCACGCAGACTTTATCTACTTCCGTTGTTTAGGAGCGCAGAGTTGCCAGGTTTTCTTCGGTTTCTAACCAAATTCTCACCGCGATTAATTCTAGCAAAATACATAGTATTATTATTAAGGAGGAGGAATTCCGCAACGAGCGACCAATATGAAACGGATAAAAATAGAGAGTTGTTAGGGTTAGGGTTAGGCTTAGGGATAGGGGTAGAGGTGTGGGTAGGGTCTGGGGTAGGGGTTGGGACAGGGGTATGGGTAGGGGTTGGGATAGAGGTATGGGTAGGGTTAGGGTCTGGCCCAGGGTAGGCCTAGGGCTAGGGGGATAGGTCTTTCCTTGTGTTTGATGAAGGTTAGGGGTTGGGTTGGGATGGGGGTAAGGGGTACGGTTAGGTGTTTTCTTTTTGGGTTTTTTTTTTGGGGGGGGGGGGTGGTAGGGTTTGGTGTAGGGGTCGGGGTAGGTCTCCTCTTTATTGTGTTTGTTTAGGGCTAGGGGTAGGTCGTTGGAGCTAGTTGGGGTCGGGGTGGAGGTAGGATTAGGAGGAGAGTTATGAGTAGGGGTAATAGTAGGGCTCTTTTTTGTTTTGTTTGTTGAGGGTTAGAGGTGGGGGGTGGGATGGAATAGGCTTAGGGTTAGGGTTAGGCCTCTTCTTTATTGAGGCTGTGAAGGGTTGGGGTTTGGTGTAGGGGTAGGGTTTTCGGTAGAGTTAGGGTTAGGATGGTAGGGGTGGGGTTAGGGTTTGGGGTAGGGGTATGGGTAGGTCTCTTCTTTATTTTGTTTGTACAGGATTATTAGGGTGAGGGGTAGAGTTGGGGTAGGGTTAGGGGTAGGAACTAGGGGTTGGGGTTTGTGTTGGGGTAGGGGTGAAGGTAGGCTTGTATTTGTTGAGGGTTAGGGGTAGGGGTATGGGTAGGTCTCTTCTGTTTTGTGTTTGTTGAGGGTTACGTTTTTAGGGTTAGGGTTAGGGTAAAGGTGGGGGTAGGGGTATGGTTAGGGGTTGGGTCAGGGTATGGGTTAGGACTCTTCTCTATTGTGTTTATTGAGGAGGTCGCTCGTTGCAGAGGGTCGGTTTTCTTTTCTCATAAGGTATTTGGTGAGGTGGGGGGGGGAGGTTCAGGGGGGCTTGCCCCCCTGACCAGGAGCAGCACCTCTCATTTATGAAGGTGGGGGAGTCTTGCCTCCTTGATTAAAGTAAGTTTTAGGGACAGGTTTTCCGTTTCTTCGTCTGTTCAAAACACGTGTGAAATGAAATCGTTATTTGTATAATTTTTCGCTTCATCCCTTTCCGCGACACGGGCGTACGAAAAGAACGAAATACAAGTAGACTGGTACGGAGAAAGCCGCGCTTGTCCACGATGGCAACTCGAAAAAACCGGAAGTCGTTTTTTTATATGCAAATGAGGTAGAGTCGACTCAGAAATTTACTTTTTTTTCTTTCTTTGTTTTTTTTAAGCCGATCGCATCAGCTTTCCTAATTTTGCGAAGGAACCTCGTCGAAACCATTTGATGTAAAACATAATTGCGTTTTGGGAATTTTGAAAGGTGATACACTCACACTTAACTCAAGTAGCTTTATAAGAATTTTTTTTTCTCTCATTGGTAACACCAGCTGTTTGGCATAGTGGTTATGCTGCTGGACTACTAATCATGTTTACTTCCCTCACTCACAGGTTCGATTCCCAGCCACGCCACTGATTTTTCTAATCATGTCATATTATTGTGTGTTCTTTGAGATGTTAACATGTCACTAATAATACCCATTCCAGGTGAAGAGACAAAGGAAGGCAATAGGAATACAAAGTAACACAAATTAAGTTAACTTTCTTTACTTTCTTTATTGCCCAACCAAATACTAAACCCTATCTTTTACATATCCCACTCAAAAGTCCCTTCTTTATTGCGTAGGCTGGGGTGGTCGCTCGTTACGGAAGTCCTTCCCTTACAACTCTCACATTACGGACAAAAAAACCCACAAAACACTCGGTTAGGCATGAGAGTCGTGATAACTTGTAAATAGTTGCAGCCCTCATTTTGCACTTCCTTTATCAGGTCAGAGGCCATGTGGTAGAAACATAAACATTCGATGTCTTGGTGGCTTGGTGGTGATTTTTTTATTTTTCAGAAAATTATTTGGACAGCAAGCATTAAGGTGGAAAAGGCATCTTTGCAGGATATTGGTTCAAGTAGCCTTTGCTTAGTTTAGTTATATCCACTACCTCGTACATATAAGAATATTTCGACTGTCATCAATGTCTCGATGGGATGTGTAACTTTTACTCAAGATAGATCTAGATCTAGATCTAGGTGGATATTTTTTTCCTTTAAAAAAAACAACAAACGAACAAGCTTTATGATATTTTCAATAATTGTTTGTGTACATCTAGCATAATTCACAGCAACTATTTTAAAAAGCTACCAGCAAACGATCAAGAGACTGAATTATGTATGCTCAAAAATTGACGAGTGCCTGATTCAAAGTATGCTTGTGTCTGCCTGCCTGTTCCAGTTTCCAATTAAAGAAACTTGAAAAATCGGTTTGAGTAGAAAATTATGTCTCTTTTTTAAATGCCTCAAATTAGCCCATCTTCGGGAGTTGCTGGGTGTCTAGAAGGCGCGCCTCAATGAATTAATAAAACGAGATACACGTACTAAATTAATACCTCAGGGACATTACATTTCTCTCGTTGTAAAACAATGTATGTAGACATCTGTACGCTAATATATTTGTCGTGTTAAATTTTGTAAATCTCTTCTCATTTCCCTCTTTTTCCCTTATCATTCCGTTCGTCCTCTCTAACCAAAGGAAAGAGAGAGAGAGAGAGAGAGAGAGAGAGAGAGAGAGAGAGAGAGAGAGAGAGA